ACCATTCGAAGAGAGACTAAACCCAAACAAGAAAGCAAAATAAATTGGTAAAATAATTTTATTAAAATTAAATGAATTAATTACGAATACAAACTTTAATCCAGTGGCACAGCTAAAGTTACTGATACCAACAACGAAAAATTTTTGAAAAAAATGGTCAAAAATTTAACTACAAATAAAAGCTTGAGGTTGGAGGCTCACAAACCACTAATAAATGATACATAGCAGGCAAAGTACAAAACATTGTTTGGAAAATATAAACATTATCATTTATCATATTAAATTTCCAAATTTCTGATAACTTAAGGTAACTCATTTGGCTATTATTTTGATGCAAATAAAGTACGTATTTGTCGAACTTAACGCCCTTCTTACTTATTTATAAAGCGGCCTGTCCACATAGGAAGTCACTAGCTCAGTAAACGGAGTTGCCACTGCACAGTGGTCGCTGCCATTGGCCAAAATTCAAAAAATGAAAATCAGATATTTATTGTCAAATGTGTACACATGGATTCTTAAGAGGTTAAGCTTTTTAGAAAACATAATAATCTTGGCTTCATTCTAACGGGACACTTTAAAAATAGCATAAAAAAAGAGAAAATGTAGTTAGTTGCTTTTTTCAGTGGGATCAGTGAAAAAAAGAGTAAAAATAGATCTGCTTTACAAAATTAAATACATTTTAAAATGACAATTCTTGGCATAATTATTGAAAAGCAAGGTATTGACTTATTTTTTGTTCAGTAATTTGTGTGTTTAGTAGTTGTGTATAATATAGACGATGTGAATGTTCTCAGCTGCCTGTAAGATTAATTTTGAAAATAAAATTGGATTTCAGTTAAAGTTTTAATTGTTTTCCCCCCTGAATCCTCCAATGTGATTTTTTTCACGCCATTAGTAATGGTCCTAAGATTCTAGAAGTGCTAATTTAACTTTCAGATTTTGTCAGATTTGTATGTTATGCCCAATATACTGAAGTGACTTCGCTTCAATTTTGTCAGTTTATGATGCGAGTGACATAGAATATGTTTTTGTTGTTTGGGATTGATAAGGATATAATTGAGGGGTGTTCAGTAATGTTGCCTGCATTGTCTTCTGGGCATAATATTAATGTCGAAAAATTTAAGGACTTTGCACTGAAAACGGCTAAAGAGTTAACAAATAGATATCCATGGCACTGTCTTCCACCCACAGCTCATAAAATTTTAATACACGCACCCGACATTATAAATTTGTCATTGTATCGATTGGAGAATTATAGGAGGTAGCCGTGGAGTCTAGAAACAAAGATATAAAAAAGTTTCGACTAAATCATACCCGAAAAAATTCTCGTGTTTCAACAAAAACAGATCTTATTAACCGTCTTCTTTTGAGCTCTGACCCTTTTATAACGGGACAGGGAACGTTACCAAACAAAAAAATCTATATTATTAAAATCTGCATTTGATTTACTTGAATAACACTGAAATTTATAAATATCCATTAGTAACTTTGATTAAATTGTATATTGAATTGTTTATTTTGTTTACAAAAAAATTGTCTATTTAATTTACAAAAAAATAATCAAATTTTGAATTTATTTGTATAAAAAATACTTCTATTTTTGGAGGTACCTTTACCTCTACCTGAAGGCGGGTCGTTCCAAATAATTTTCAGTAAGACTATTTTTTCAGCTCTTTAGAACGTAAAATGTCAAATAACAGAACAATCTAGTGTAGAAATGTAACAAAAATTGGGCAAATATCCCTTATTCGGGAGGTACGTTGTAAGGGGACCATGCCAAAACATGCATCGACCATATTCATTTTGTCACATTTTTTATTTTTATCTCATCAAGGTACCATAACCAAAGAATCATATTGATATCTGCACTGAAAGTATTTTTGGCCGCTGTTCCCATACGACCTCGACCACTGTGCACTGTCTACATCACTTCTGACATTTTGATGGCAGTGAACATTAATATTGATATTCGCATTATAATTGTAAACTATTGACTTGTTACATTTACATTTTCAATACTTTTTTCATTTAAAAAATCAGAAAACAAAATAGAATGAGGTACCTCAGATATATAGCTACAGAGGATATTTATCATTTGATACGGCCAAAACATGCGATCTTTAGACGAAATCCATTTCAGGACATTTGGAGTCGATCTCGGGTTGTCCGTCTGTCTGTTAGTGCCGACGATAAATGGATTAGGGCTCGTTCGGGCTCGGCAGCTCGGGTTTTTGTTATTCGGGTCGGCTACAGGGGCGAGGTAACTAGCCTAGCTACGATTCTATAACTACGTCTACTCCACAACCATCGTTCGACTATAAAACGGAACAGCGAGCCGAAACCCCTGTGGAACAGCGAGCCGAAACTCCTGTGGAACAGCGAGCCGAAACTCCTGTGGAACAGCGAGCCGAAGCTCCTGTGGAACAGCGAGCCGAAGCTCCTGTGGAACATCGAACCGAAGTTCCTGTGGAACAGCGAGCCGAAGCTCCTGTGGAACAGCGAACCGAAGTTCATGTGGAACAGCGAGCCGAAACACCTGTGTAAATTAATTACCAGCCACTTAACTTAATGAGAGCCAGTCTTGAAAGAAAATATTCCCGGCTAACGCTTTTGTTAGCCGGGGGACGACCGATGATCTTAGAAAATCACTAGCTATCCTTTGGCAAGCTCCAGCAGTAGCAAGCCTCCTCTCATCACACCGCAAACCGAATACTATATGTGACCGGTCCTACCAATAACTGAGCGTTCAAACAATGTGAAATTATCATCCGGTTTTTTCAAACTTGACACATCTTAATATTTCTACCAATACAAAGTCTACTGTGAAAAATCGGCGTTTACAATTTTTCAAAATTGAGCGTAGCGCGTAGCCGATTAGTACAAACCATTCATATGTGAAAATGGATAATATTGGTGCACTCCTTCGTACCTCTCCCATACATTTGTCTACAAAACTGACTGATACTTTTTAACTTGTTTTGAATGATATACCTATTTATTTGTGCACCAAAAATGCATTTTCAATTTAATAGAATTTCACATAGCAATCGTAATGGCAGTCGAAAAGAGTTTTACGTTGAAAAATCCAATATAAAACGCGTATAACGAAACCTCCCTATATTTTGAATTACCACAACCTTTGGTAACAACTTGTCTATATAGGCCCAGGTTTTTGTTTACTCCTCATATAGTACATTATTTGGAATTTTAAATGATTTTTGACTTTTTTATTTAGTATGGCATTAACAAAGTACGCAGCTCATATGCTGGACCTCAGCACCAAAAAACTTATTTTCAAACCTGTAATATTTCAAATGGTGGAGTGTTCTAATACACTTTCGGTCAGATTGTTTAACCTTTTCCTTTATTTAAACATGGCATGTATAATCCATGAATAGTGACAAAAACAATAGCGATTTCGAAAAGAGATGGTGGTGGTGACATTCTTGTTTACTTTTGTTTAAAAGAGTTATATAAATGAGTTTTGGGGGAGAACATCTTCTTACAAAAAACTCAAAGGACTAATGAAGAATGATGGTTTCTTTCCAGAATTTTTATAAAAACAACTACAATCGGTAAAATCTAACAATTCAGTGTTTTCTTGCAATACTTTACTTCGATTATTTTATATCTACTTATTGTATTTTACATCGCTTCATTTTGTTCTATTCTCTAACTACGAACGCCAATATTGTCTCCTATTCGCCTAGGCGTCCCACAAAAGTATGGCGTTATAAAACGGCATGTACTTTTACTCGTCTCTAGATTGGAATTATTTTGCGGTTATGAATGGCAATAAACTTCTACTGCCACTGAAGAGACCAATGTAATTTCTTCTCGGATTGCCTTTTGTATCGGCTGCTGTAATGAAATTCCCTTGATTGGCTCATTTGAAGTTTACCACAGAACGAAGAAATCATTCTCGGAATTGATTGCAAAACTGTGTGTCTATTCTGATGAGAAATGTGAAAGTGTTTCGTAGCCATGTTTTATTCATGACGCCATGGAGACTGCAATTCTCGGTGGTGGTCTGTTTTGCCCTTACTGATTGAAAACAAGCGCTGTCTTAGATCGGATTTTAAAATTCCTTCTAAATTGAGTTTATTATAAGATGCATTTATATAGTTTCACAATCATAAAAATGAAATACAGAGAAATCAAAATTGATGTAATTGAGAAACATTAGACCGTTTGGAATATCTTACCGGTTAAAATGGAATATTGTTGTTATGAAGAATGAGGTGAAGGTGTTATTTGAACCAAGAATGTATTACCTGCAAAGAAAAAAATGGTTTATTATTATTACATAGATGGGGATAATAAATAAAATTAAATTCTACGTCTAATTTCTGTTAAATGCAAATATAATAAGCTAAATGGAATAATGTGAGTAACATCTACATACATAGCAATCTATAAAAAATTGTACTTGCTCCTTGTAGCGTATGCGTAACATGTTGTGATATTTTTACATAACTAATGGATTGCTAACTTCCGCTTTAATTCTTGCGAAATACAAAGTTTCTATAAAGAAAAGAAGTGTCAAATAAAAAAATTATTTCGGACATCTTATATTTGTCATTTGACATTTTCATAGAACAATTAGCATTATTATTATTAGGTCAATTAAGGTTCGACCTTGGGCCAAACAAAGATTGTTTGCAAAATTTCATCTCAATCGGATAAAAAATGCGACCTGCTTTTTGTTCACAAGAATATATGGACAGACGGACGGACTGACTGACGTACATAAATTGACTCAGAAAGTGATTCTATGAAGATCCTCAAAAGTAGTTATGGGTCTATCTCGCTTCTTTCTCCCTGTTACAAACAAATGCACAAAGACATTATACCCTTGCCACTATGTGGCGTAGGGTATAAAAATCCATTGCCAATGACATATACATATACGTCCGTATTCTTGTTATTCGCCGAGATAAAATCTCACTACAGCGAAATTTCTCGCTGTTATAATACAATCTAATGTTTTTTCTTTGCAGAGGCTCTGCGTCTGTTCCCACCCGTGGCTGTTAACTCCAAACTCTGCACTCAGCCATATGAATTTGTGAACAAAAACGGCAGTTAATTTCGAATGGAGAAAGTCGAGGCTGCTTTTATTTGTTACTACAGCATACATCACGATGAACGGTACTATGATGATCCAGAGGACTTTAAACCATTAAGATTTCTAACTGAAAATGGGGGCGTTAAGAAATACCGAGAACAGGGCAAATTTATGGGCTTTGGTGATCCTCGTATTTGTATGGGTAAGTAGAATTTCCAATAATAACTTTTTTTAACAACATATGTTTTTCTTTTATATTTCATTAAAGGAATGCGTTTTGGTTCAACTCAAGCGAATGCTGCCATTGTCGAAATAATTAGAAATTTCTATGTGAAGTCTAACCCCAAGACACGCAGTGACAATTTATTAGAAAAGAAAGAATTCATACCAATTTCAGATGGTGGTGTCTGGTTAGATTTTGAGGCAATAAATGATCAAATTATATAGTCATATATGTATGTATATATAACCAGTAAAGAAAGTCTTAAAGTCTGGCGGGGCCCACTTTATGATACCCTACACCACTTTGCTAATTTAGTAGAGCTCCACTTAACAATTAAAAGTTTTTATGGGAGAGTTCAATCATACACGCTACAATTATAATTATAGTTTAAAGTTCAAAAGACTAAATATGCTGAAGCATTTGAACCTTTTAAATTCAGTCTTGTATTGCCCATTTGATGCACAATTAATTTGAAATAGGATAAAAATATATATGGGAGCTATATACAAATCGGAACCGATCTCGATAAAATTTGGCATACTTATTTCTAGGCTCAATTTAGTTGTATGTGTTAATATTAGACGTTTGGTGCACAAAAAAAGGCAAATCGGACGAAGATATATATGGGAGCTGTATCTAAATTTTTTCCGATTATCTCCAATTTCAATAGGGTTCGTCCTTGGGCCAAACAAATGATATGTGCAAAATTTCATCTGGATAGGGCAATAAATGCGAACTGTACTTTGTTTACAAAAATACATGGACAGACGGACAGATGGACGGACGGACAGACAGACGGACGACCGGACGGACATGCATAAATCGACTCAGAATATGATTCTATGCAGATCATCAAAAGGAACTATGGGTCTATCTCGTTTCCTTTTGCCTGTTACAAACAAATGCACAAAGACATAATATCCTGACCACCTTGTGGTGTAGGGCATAAAAAGGAAATAATATGTTTATCATTTGAAATATACTTTCATATTCATGCATAAAAAATATTTTAAAATAAAATACGCCACACTGTGTTATGGGAAATTCAGTATCCAGTCCAATAAAACATAAAACAAGTAAACCAGTGTTAAGTTCGGCAGCGCCTAATTTTTAATAACTTACACCACCTTGAGGTGAAAACATTTGTAAAAAAATAATCGGCACTCAATATTCAACCTAATATACCGGGAAAAAGGGCTGGTATCTATTGCGATCACAAATAATAGCTAAAAACGCCGAAAACTCAAACTACACCATTTTCAGCTGTTTAGATTTGCGAAGAATTAGCTGTGGGGGGTATTACAACTTTGATTGGGTCAAAAATTACGTAACAACTCGAAATATTGGTCCTGCATGGTCCTCCATGGGGTTTAAAATAGACGAAACCCTAACAATTGTCTTGATTTTACAGTCGTCCTACAGTTCTCAACTAAGGAACATGGAATTTTTTATGAGGTTAGAGCTTAGAACAGCGTTAAAGCCTGGAATTTGGGATGGTCATCTAATAATAATAAATTATGTAGTATTTATGGGTTGTTACATATATAAAATTTAAATTTGACAAATATCGGAAGGTGTCGTTATATCGGGAAAAGTGGTATGGATAATGCAAATGTTCGAACTGGACCTGCCTACTGAAAGAATACACATGTGTGTAAAACTGTAGCCTTCTAATTTTGCTGAGAAGAATACATATGCTTACATATGTCTTACATGAGGTTTTGAGGAGTTACAAACTGAATGACAAAATTAATGTAACCTCCAAGTTATGGTGGATTGTAAAAACTAAAAGTTCGGTGCATTTAAAGAGTTTTTTGTGCTCTGGCACTATAATTTGTTGTCAACGACTTGAATGTTTGAATGGGCGGGGAGCCTTGTACAATGTGACGGATAAGTTATGGAAGTATGACATGAGTTGTTAAGTATACGCCACAGTGCGCTATCAAATATATTTGAAATTGATTGTAATTCCAAATGGCTTGATATACATTTGTGGCCTCTGTATGATGGTGACGTCGAGCATATCAAGTATATAAGACATACTTAACTTTTCAGTATTTGTAGTATACACCACTATGGGATGAAAGTTGTTTTGGAAGGAAGAAAAAAATGCGACCATGCGACCAGTAGGTAATACACCGAAATATAAATTGAATCTCAAAAGTATTTAAAACATTAATTCACGTAATTCCGAAATATACCTTTCGTTTTGAAAACAGCCACAATTTTTTTTAAAAAAAAGTCTTATTATAACTAATAAGAATTTTTGATGTAAAACAAATTAATCCCCTAGCATTCAATTTTTCCATACAAATACTGGGCAAATAGACATTTCTGATAAAAGGACAGCAACGGGAGAACCTTCGTCAAGTGGATTAAATTATTGGCGGTAAATTACCATTCAAATTATGTTAACCACTTGCATCCTTTTTAGTCTTTTTGCACATAATTATACCTCCAACACGTACGGACAATCCCTTCCATTTTATATATATTTTTTTCCCTTTGCTTTGCATAAACGATTGCATTAATTAACAGATCATGCCCGTTTAGATATGTTTCAATTCTTAGCGGCTAATTACATATTTTCAATTGCCTTTTTATAAAAATTCCATAGAATCTGACATGTCTTTTATCATTACTACTTATGCTGATAAAATCACATGTGGGTAAGCTAATTTTGAAGGGGCACATTGGACTGAAACAAAAGTGCCACATTCGCACTTTGGTCATGACTCTTTAGCTGCGCACAAAAAAGCAACACCAGCACTATATTAATTAGAATCTGCATCATCTTTATCGCATTTTAATTATAAAATACAACAGAAAACCAAGCAACCCATTCATTTGCAAATGCCATAGTCACCGACATCGACAGCAGACGAGAATCCAACGCGGACAGCATCAACCTCAAAACATTCTATGAGACAGGCGATGCCGATAACAGCCCCGAGGCTTTCGCATGTCGGACATCCGAGGCCTAGCGTTACATTTGCATTTATATGAGTTAATTAAAATAACGCACAAATGTAGAAAACTGGTGAAATGGCAAAACGGTGTTTGCGCGCAATTAAAGTTAAAATTCAACACGACTTAATATGCAGACTGTATTACAGAAGTAAGTAAATTATTTGTCATTCGCCGCTGTGCGCAGCTCACATTCCCCACACCACATTTAGTTTTCACACATACGTGTCGAACACACGGACACACACACACAAAGAGAGAGACACAATTACTACATTTACTTCTATCTCTCTGGTAATTGAGAGCATTGCAGACAAGCCAAGTTGCCGTCAAAGGATTGCGTATTTTTATGTACGAATTAAAGGCTTAATATCCGTGCTCCAGCCTTGCCCATTGCGATGACGCCACAACTTTAGCTAATGGAGCGTGGAATGTGCATACACTGGCACACACACACACACACAGTCAATTCAATGTTTAACGATATGTGTGGAAGCAAACGAGAGAATTGCCAACTGAGAACTGAAAGAGTTGAGCATTTAAAAGTTTTCAACTTAATTGGATGCTTGGGGTAAACACAACGCACGGAGAACGGAAATATAAATCAGTTGTTTTCAATTTCACTTCTTCGCATTCCTTCGCCGTGCATGGCGAAGAGGTTTGTACGCACACATTTGTGCGGATAATTTATATTAATGCAAACGGACCTATATGACTACCCGTCCTTATTTCCGCTATTTCCAGAGCACTTACAATGAGTTTGGAATTTTATGCCCACATGCATATGTGTGCACATTGTATTCACACGAATCCGTTGCAGAAGTATGTGGTGCACAATTTATATAAATCTATCAAATAGGAGTTATTTATATATTTGTGGGAGAAAAGTACCTAATGGTCATATATTCCTTTGCATACATTCCAAAATATTCCAAAACTATGAGTTTCCCAGCAACTGCAATTTGGTCCCGAGCAGCCCAAAAATGCACTCCATTACAATGGTACTTGGTACCAGTGTCAGATATACAGGGTGAGATGAAAAAACTGAAACCAACTTCAGACTGCTGTCATTTCTAATCCACTTGTCCGGCAGCTGTTAAAATTATTCCAGTGACAGCTCATTATATTTTTTACAAGCTTACAAAAGCATTTTGGCAGACGAAAGAAAACGGCAACATCAGCAGATATGGTTCGAAAAGTAAAGAAGCGACTTGATTGAAACCCGCGCCGCAGTGGCCGAAAATGGCTCCTGAACTGAACATATCGCAATATTACACTCGCCAAATATTGAAAAATGGGGGCGGGGTAAAGCCACTGATATTCCAAAAATGCAAGAACTTACACAACAACAGAAATAAATTAGACTCAAAAGAGATAAAAAGTTGCATCGCTTGGCCGAAAGTGGTGAACTGCCAAATTTGGTTTTCTGCGATGAGAAAACATTCGTTGTCCAGCAGTTTGTAAACAAACAAAATGATCATGTTTACTTGCCAAAGAGGTTAGCTGAAAATGTGCACCATCGGTTGGCCACCTGAACTCAAGGGCCGGCCATGGTAATGGCCAAAGTGTCGATCACCTCAAGTAAGCGCCTCGCCGGGAATGGATCAAAATACCGCAGAGCAACATTCGGGCAGCGTGGCCGTTTGAAGTTCATAATTTGATTTGATAATTTTTTCTCAAATTTGATGCTATTTCCGACAATTTTTGCTTTCATTCAACAAAATTTAAAAAAAAAAAACAGTAAAGAAAGTCTTAAAGTCGGGCGGGGCCGACTTTGAGATACCCTACACCACTTTACTAATTTAGTAGAGCTCCGCATAACAATTAAAAG